CTCCTACTTTGAGTCCAAGGTACCATCTTGAGACAGGTCCTCCTGAACTGGACTTCCAATGGCATAGAACAAGATGAGAAAGACATTTTTGGCTTTGTGATTTTTTTTAAGTCAGCATTTAAAAAAATGCTTACCCACCCATGGGCATGGGTTGCATGTTTTTTTTTAAATCCAAGTATGTCAAGCATTTTACTTTCTTCAGAGTCTTTGAGAGACTGTTGACTAATCTCAGCAAAAATACCTCCACCTACCTAAGAACATTATGATGGGATTCACTTTGTCAAACTCTAGAGGCTAAATAAGCAACGCTGTCTGGTTCAAGCAATGTCTTCTGTTTTGACAGTGGCATTGTCTGAGGCTCTAGTGGATCTAGTCACAGGTCACAAAGACAGTCCCTCCAAGGGTTGCTCAGTTACGTCGCTTCTGTCTCTGTCTTTCTGACTCACGTGTACTCATAGTATGGATGGAGAAGACGCAAGAGCCTTGACATTCAGTCACTGCCATGTGGTGCAGCCCGTGTAGAGTCTCCGTTCTTATGAGTAAGTGAGTGATGTCAGGGATTTTATTTCGGGAACACTGTATCTCTGAGATCACTTTCCCCCTCAGAATATCAGGACACAATAACGTGCAACTCCGAGTGGCTAATTATCTTTCCTCCATTACCTTTCCCTTAGCCACAAAAACAGCCTCTTATCTGAAATACCCATCCGGTGAAGTTGATTTGAAACCTGAAGACTGGACTTTCTTTTTAGCCAGCTCATTGTTGCTAGCATGGATCAAATTTTTGAGGGTGCCATCTTAGTAAAGATAAACAGAACTTGGTATTGCTGCATGTTGTCAGATACATTTCCCACCTAGAAAGGGGATAGCTAATTGGGAAACCCATCAAAACAACACTGAGCTCAGTGCCCAAAGACATGCAAATGCAGTGCCTCTGGATTCAAGATTCTCAGCAAATCAGGGACAAGCCCAGCTTTGGTGGAGCTTCAAGCATCTCCAGCTCTGGATCCCCGCTTTGAAATGCGTCAGAAAACTATGAGTGCCAGACTGTCCAAGTGAAACGTGAGCTTCTCCAGCTTCTTGACAAAGTCAGCTCTGAATCAGCCCAGTTAAAATCTCACACCTTAGAAAAGGCTTTATTCACCTTAGCATTTTGTATTAATAGCACTGAAAATATTCAAGGTACTCTGGTGCTTGGTATTTCTTATCAGCAGCTGGAGGAGCGCTGAATGCTTAAAATATTCTATGGTATAATCGATTTATAGGGGATATGGCAACTCCCTTCAGTTCATAAAACATGGGTTGTTTGTTTGTTTGTTTGTTTGTTTAGGACAGGGTTTCTCTGTGTAGCCCTGGATGTCCTGGAACTCACACTGTAGACCCGGCTGTCCTTGAACTCACAGAGATCCACCCGCCTCTGCTTCCCCTTCCTGAGTGCTGGGATTAATTTCTCTAAAGTTAAATTGCAAGCAAAAGAATAATGGTAATAAAAAGTAGCCAAAAGGAATTAACTGAAGGCAAAACTGGTCATGAAAAATACTTGAAATGCGTTTATTAACATTGAATAAGCTAAAGCTCCCCAGTCAGCTGTTTGAGACACGACAGCCGTAAGACGGAGGGGGGGGCATTGACTTACTTGTTTAGTGATTTCTGTAGTTGTGACAACACCCACTAAAATAAGGATAAAGTATTAAAGCAATAGTCACAGCATCATTACTTTAACAAAGCCACAAAAAACCATCACAATCAGGAGAACCTCCTGAAGAAAGTCCAGAATATTCTATGTAGAAGAAAGACCAAATACAAAGGCATGGGGTTATGAAACAATATTCTTCGTCTTGGCAACTCCAAGAAACTTGTATTAAGGGATGTTGAGCCAATTGGCACGAGATAGGACTGAAAAGCAAGCAGTGGATGGGAAAACACTTTGGTTCACCTAGCAAAAAGAGGCACTAGGGGTCCACCGAGGGCTCAGATCCCACATGGAAGGATAGGTGAGTGTAATGGTTGGGATTGGGTGCCCAACCCCACCTGTATGCTCGAACACTTAGACCTAAGCTGGTGACACTGTTTGGGGGAATTGTGGGGCGTTTGGGAAGCAGCTGAGAAAAGTCACCATCAGGAATGGGGGAGGAGACCAGCGATGAGAGGTTTTCTAGAGTCTTGGAAGGGAATGGCTTTATGAAGAATGAGCTAATCAACAAGTTCAAAATCTCTCAAAAAGTCATGTCCTAGTGATGTCTGGGAAGCTGCCCAGTGGGCTTCAGGGGTGCAGGTGAGGAGGGCGTGGAGAACCCTTCCTACTGAGCGGTGAGAGGCATGCAGACAGTATGGGGAGAAGCAGACACTGGAAGGTCATGCAAGGTGTGTGCTCTCTTCTGAGACAGGAAATCTAGACTTATGTGCAAGAAGTGACCGAAAGAATTCGATGGATTAAAATGGCAGGAAAAAGGAGAACAGTTAAATAAAGCTGAGCTCCCCCAGGCTGTGGGTAGGGAGGAGATCAGAACTGCTCATGGAGGAGTGAGTATGTGGAGAAACTGGAGCTTTGTGTCCAATGATAGGAATAGAAAATGGTACAGCCGCTCTGGAAACCTGATGGCTCTTGAGAAAGTTAGGCATAGAATTACCATGAGTTGGCAGTTTTTCAAAATGAGATTAAGGGAAAGCTGAGATACCTGCACTTGTGCAAGGCCATGACCGCATCATTCACAGTGACCAGGCAGAAAGGACCCAAATGCCATGAACTCACCAACAGATAAATAAAATGGACTATTATTCATCCATAAAAGGGGTGAAGGTCAGATACAACACGAATGAATTTTGAGAACTTACTAAGGAATAGTTATATAATTCATTTATATGAAACATCTGAAGTAGACATTCATAGAGCCACAAGCAGATTAGTGGTCGCCAGGAACTGAGTCTCCTCTAATAAATATAAAGTTTATGGCTGGAATGACAGAAAACACTTAAAAGTAGGTAGTGATGATTACTGAACAACCTGGTAAGAATAATTACCAGTTAGAGATGGCTAACATTGCATATTTTATATAATATAAAACTTAATTTAAAAATTAAACATTTGAACTTTTAAGTATTTGTATATGATATGGGGGCACACATGCCAGAACACATATGGAGGTTAATGATAACCTTAGGGAGTCAATTCTCTCCATCCACCTTTACTGGATTCTAGGGATGAAACTCACTCACCAAGTGCAGAGGGAGAACAGACACAGTGGGGGCCGCAGCTAGTTGGTTTCCGTGCTGCCGAGGTTGGACTTGTCCAGTTGATGGCATTGCAGGAATAGGTCCTAATGTAGGCAGATCACTACCACAAATCACTTATTTCTCCTCACAGCAGCAGTTTGGTGGTTAATGGGGGTGGCTTGCTTCACTATATAGTCCAAAAGTCCGGGAGATTTGGTGGCCGTTTGCAAGATCCCCTGGTCACTGACACTAGTCAGTGGAACGAGGAAGGGCAAGGGGGGCTTAAGCATATGGTTTCATGGTCCACCCAAAAGAGATGCATCTCCACCCCTCACATCTCAGGTCGTAAGTCAGGCACACACCGTGCTGAGTTACAGAGAATCTGGGAAATGTCAAGTTGTGTGTCCTTTGAGATGGGTAGTGGGACACTCAGTGTCCTTTGTCAACTGCACGGCCTGGAATAACCTTGGAGATAAGTCTCAGGGTGTGCCTGTGGGGTTTATCTTGTCTGCAGTGACTGGAGGTGGGGCTGTCTGCACATGGAGCAAGGGAGTTGAGCAGTCCCTGCTGTCTGCTTTGATGGAGGAGGGTTAACTGTCTATGTGTTACTTTCATTGGTTAATAAAGAAACTGCCTTGGCTTTTGATAGGACAGCAGCTTAGATAGGTGGAGGAAACAGAACAGAATGCTGGGAAGAAGAAGGCTATGAGGCAGTCGCCATGACTTTCCTCTCTGAGACAGCCACAGGTTAGAATCCTTCCGGTAAGCCACCATCTCGTGGTGCTATACAGATTATTAGAAATGGGTTAATCAAGATGTGAGAGTTAGCCAATAAGAGGCTGAAACTAATGGGCCAAGCAGTGTTAAAATGAATACAGTTTTCATGTAATTATTTCGGGTAAAGCTAGCCCGGCCGGCAGTGGGAAGTGGCCCGCCACTCCTTCTACACTGCTTCCTGTCCACGGGTGCCATGTGATTACCTGCTTCAAGTTCTGCGGCCTCAGCTCACCCACCGTGGACTAGACCTGAACTGTGGGCCAAAACAAATCCTTTCTCCTCTAAGTTGCTTTTCTGGGGACATTTTGCCCCAGCAACAAGAAGGGAATTGAGATGGGTAGTGAACGCCCCAGCTACACTGGAGCCCCCAGTGTCACGTCTTCTAAATGGTATTTGTGGTTTTGATATCGCTACTTAGTTCAGTTTTTAAATATAGAACTAAAGTTCCAGAAGGTTCACATTGACAGATCAGCTCAAGTACGTACTGAAGAGGAGTCACCTCTGCTCCTCTTCCCTCCATGTGTCCATTAAAAACCCTGCTTAGATTTATTTACCTCTGACCCAGTTTCTTTGCTTGATGAATGAATTTTATTTTTTCATCAGAAATGTATATATGATTTTAGAAATTAGGATAACCTGCAACCCATCACCCCCATTGTGCCAGTGGGGATATTAAACAACAGGAGGGGGGCCTGCAAGGCTGTCTTAGCAGTTAAGAGCACTGCTTGCTCTTCCAGAGGACCCAGGTTCATTGCCCAGAACCCACATTTTGGCTCACAGCTGTGTGTACTCCGGTGATGACATCATCTTCTGGCTTCTGCAGACACTGCACACAAGTGCTGCATGGACACATATCCTAGCAAAACACCATACACATAAAATAGTAGAATACAACAATTTAAATACCACAAGGAAGTCACAGTGACATCCAGGAGGCCACTAACAGTATTCGCCCCCACAGTGACCCCAAGAGGATGCTGGGTCTGCTGACCTGTGGCTGTTACAAATAAGGCAAATAATGTCTAAGCCACAGCAATGGTTTCTCTGGGTTAACAAGACACACACGATTGTTTAGTTATTGTGTGTGTTTGTCTTTGAATAAGATCAGGTCTCTCCAGTTTTTGTAGCGTCCATCTCAGATTCCCACCTCTCTGACACGAAGGCAGGCACAGCATCCGCTGAGAGTCACTGGCTGGAAGTGATGACCTCATAGTCACCCCCACAGTGAGCATCAGAGGCAGGGCGTGGGCGTGGTGGCATGAAAAGGACCCACACACCGAGGGGGAATTCCCCCACCAGAAGAGGTTTCACTCCAAGAACCATGTAAAGAATTTGAAGCTGTAAACTTGAAAGATTGACCATCTTCCTTTCTTAAGTTGTATGGAAATTCTACAAAAATCTCAACCCTTGGTGGGGCAAGGCTGTCTGAAGGAACATGGTGAATTATTACAAAATACTGGGGGTACCTCTGAATGCCTCCTCCTCAGATATCAAAAGGGCTTTCCACCAGTTAGCTCTGCAAGTACATCCAGACAAGAACCCAAGAGACAAGGAAGCAGCAGAGGAGAAATTCAAGCAAATAGCAGAAGCCTATCACGTCTTGTCTGATGCCAAGAGGAGAAAAGACTATGACAGGTCTAGATGGAGCCGTACCAAAGGAGAAATCAGGGGCAGTGGCCATACCAAAGGAGAAATCAGGGGCAGTGGCCATACCAAAGGGGAAATCAGGGGCAGTGGCCATACCAAAGGGGAAATCAGAGGCGATGCCAGAGACAAGACCCATTCGGAGGAAGAACTGTGCTTTCGGAGGCCACACCGCACCTTCCAGAAGGTCACTGAAGATGAAGACCTCTTTTCAGGAGACAGTTTGTTCTCTGGTCCCATGGCTCAGTCCAGAAGAGCCTCGTCCCCATTCTTTAGTGTTACCCCTATCCTGGACACGGGGTTTTCTACTTTTGTGCCCCTAGGATCGAGACTGGGTTCTGCTGCCTCTGAGACATTTGTACCATATGTAAGCCATGGAATGGGGAAGTTCAAGCTGGTCACCACTTGTTGCCAGATAGTGAACGGTAAGAAAGTTGTCACAAAGAAAGTCGAAGAGAATGTGAGAGGACCAATGAAAACAGAAAATGAATGCCTGTTTCGCAAGACACCTTCACGTGGTTGGTAAGAACTGCCATTGTATTCTTCACCAGGAATTGCAAAGGAGATTTATTTGTATGTCTTGACGCCCATCAGGGATGGTTGGGATCAGAGGTCGAATGGCATAGACAGAGGTCGGCCTAGCCCAAAGCCCTCCTCTCTGTGGAGGGGAGTCTTGGGCCAGATGTTAATACAGTCAGGAGCAGAGCTGACCTTCCAGCCTGTCTTCTCACTCGGTAAGGGGTGCGGACAGACACACTGCACTGAGAGGCAGAATCTGAAGGCTCTTCCAACTGTTGTCCCTCGGCCCCTTGCTGTTTACCACCCAGTGACCTTCTTGGTGACTCTTTTTTTTCCCTAGCCTTTTTTTTCTGTGTCTCTCCTTCTCTCTTCGCATCTCACCTCCCTCCCTATGCATTTCCCATAGTCATATGATACAATTCAACTCAAGGAGTTATCTACCTACAGATCAATGCTGACAGAGAGTCAAAGTCAATGGGTTAAGGGTTTACATATATGTCATATATTGGCTGCTGAGCGCATGTCTGGAATTGTGTTCTCTGAGTTCAGTCGCTGCTTTCCTCATCTTACAGACGAGGAAATGAGGCTTAAAGAGATAGCAGCGTGTCCCATCCCTGCCTAATACTCAGTAAAGTAGTAGACTCTGTCCCCCTTGATCTATAAATCTGGGGTCTCAGTTCAATTGGAAATTCAGACCTATCATCTCTTTCCTGTGCTTCAACGCATCAGGACTTGCTAGAATTTATTAAGTAGACAGACTTTTTAATGTTCTGGCCCAATGGGAATTTGGATTTTGCTTATGTTTGAAGACTGGAACAGAACACTGTAGCCAGTGAAGCTAGAAAATGCTCGCCCATTAACACAGAAATCCCAGGATGTGAATTATATCTTTGTTCTCGCTTTAATTGTGATATATTTACAAAATCTTGTTTGTTTGTTGGTTCTGCTGAGCCAGAATCTGTTGGTTGCATTTCACCCCTCCAGTCTATATTAATAAACTGCTGGGATCTGGGTGAGTTCCTCCTCAGAAATACTTCTGATGAAGTCTACAGTTTCCAGTCGGTGCTGATTAGCAAAAATTGGGTTTCATTTGCAATTATAATCTATTATGGAAGTTAAATAACAAATTATTAGCTCTTTTAATCAAGGGACTTTCCCATTGGTGGGGTTTTGATGAGGCAAATGTTCTTGTGCAGGTCTTGAAAATTTTAATCTTGATGAATTTTCTCACTCTAAGTGGGATACGCTTGCATCCTTCTGGCAAAGGCACAGAAAGGCAGCAAAGGTGGACATGGACTCAGAAGGCATCAGTGCCATCATCTGCTAAGGGGAGGAGAAACCAGCCACTGTTTGGAGTGGGGTGTATATGAGACTCAGTGCAGCTGGGGGTCCAAGGTTGCTAATGTATTGCTAGCTGCATTATTCAGAAAAGGGCCTGTGTGCTTATAAGGGTGCCAAGCTGCCAAATGCACACTAGAAGAAGGATGTGGACAGAGATCAACCGAATAGAATCCCTGGTTACTAAATTATTGCCTTCCCCTTAGGTTGCTCACAGTCACCCAGTACTGATTCTGCCCTCTGGGCGGCTAGAGTCAGGGTTAAAGGGGAAGCCCTGTGAGCAGGTGACATACATTTCAGCACTTGCCCAGTGACTGTCTCCAGATGGACCCTTCTGCCCACTGCTCTGAGGTGAACTGCAGTGTGCCTGGGGAACAAAGGGGAAACCATCAAATTGGAACATAAAACATGATCTTCCGTTTTGTCTGAAGTAAAATCCAGATCTCAGCATTTTCATAGACACTTGGCAGAAATGCTGAGTCGCAGGGGGATTCTGGCCAGCACTGATTCCTTCTTTCCACAATTCACGCTTGGTTAGTAAAGGAAGCTTGCTTGTGTAGACATGAAAACAGGCTCTGAGCACAGAGGGGCCTGTTGGAAGCAGAGGGTTCTGTCGATGGAGCAGGGCTCAGTACCATAGGCTTTCCAAGTCCGAGTCCATCTCATCCGGAGCAGAGGCTGAGCCCTGAGGTCACCAGATATTGGATGGAGTGACGTGGTCACATAGTGTCCTGGGTCCTGCTGTGGTCACATAGTGTCCTGGGTCCTCCTGTGGTCACATAGTACCCTCTGCTCTGCTCCTGGGGTTTCTTTGGGGACCACAACTTCTCTCAAGCAAGTTCACCTCAAAATAGTTAACAGGCAACTTAAACTCCTACAGGTGTTATTGATGGGCAATCTCTCACTAATAGCAGTGATGGGAGGGTGGGTAGAGAGAGACACCATGGTCAATTCCCATGTTTGTGATTTCCAACTGCCCTGAAGCAGCTGCTCTTTCATGCACAGTGAAATCGGCATGAGATGTTTAGTAGCTGAAAAATAAATGATCCCCAAAGTCAACGACACTGTGACAGCCAGAAGCAGCTCCTTGTTCTGCTGTTCCGTGGTATGTGACTGACAGTGAAGTGAGCGGTGGAGAGCATGGGGAGTGAGAAAGACAAGGCAGTGCGTTTTGTTTGGGAACTTCAGTATTTAGGGAACTCTGGAAAATTTTAATATATTTTATGGATGGCACATGCCCTTATCCCTTTCAGAAGGAACCTCTCTGACCCCTGAGGTGGGAACATATTATTTTAAACTTGTCCCTGAGTTTCTTAAGATTTGTGATAGGATCTTGAAAACAAGATCAGCTGTAGATTGTGTTTAATCTCAAAACAGACAAAATTTTGAAGGAGAAGATGGAAGACGTGATAGCAGATACCGTTTTGATATGATTACAGTGGTTTCCAGCTGGAGATAAGTGTGTAACTTCTGCCTTCGCCCTTGCCTGTGTCTTCATTACCAAGAGCTTTGGGCCTACTCACATGCTGGCTTTCCTCTCTGTTTTCATTCTAGGAAATTGATGGAAAATCCCTGCTCTTGATGACAAGAAATGACGTGTTGACAGGACTTCAGTTAAAATTGGGGCCCGCTCTGAAAATCTATGAGTATCATGTTAAACCTCTTCAGACCAAGCATTTAAAGAACAGCTCTTCATAGTAAAGTGAAACTGAGGTCTCAGTCCTCAAAACAGAATACACAATGATGTCATTTAGTTTCATGTTGTGAGATTTCACAAACAGAATACATGTGTATATGTAAAGAATTTCGATCCAACAAAGTGTTATCCTATTGGATAGACTAGGCAATCCATCAGTTGGCCTGACTCAGCCCAGAGGAGCAAAGACAGAATGTATGTAAGATGGTTGTCCTTGTCAAACCAAGTCATCATTGGCTCTGAGGTACCCTTCCCCTGGGGAGCTTTGAGATCACAAGAATTTTCTTTGTTTCTTCATAGATTGTTTTCCACCAACTCCTTAAAAATGAGGATGGATGTAGAATGAGTGGTTTGGGTTGTAGACTTAGAAATGAGAGCAAACAAAACTCCATGGGGAGGGGGAAGGGAGGGAGTGCTGTCTCCCTTGAGTTGCCCTGCTCCTAGATGTCTGCTCCAAGGATGGAATTGCCAACACCCTTTTTTGTAGAGGGTTCTCCACTTGACCTTCTTAAGGTTTCACAGAAACGTTGTGTGTGAAGCGAACATGCACCAGGCTCCCTTTCGGAGCAGAACTCTCTCTGAGGAGAGAGACATGCTATGCACTGGAGACATCCTTGTAATCTACTCACTGTCACAGGGGCGGGGAGCTGGGGTGTGTATTTCCTGCTTACGTTGGTTCTTTGTTGCTGAAGAAAACATTTAGGGGCTTTGGGGTTTTTTGTTTGTTTGGTTGGTTGGTTGGTTTTGCTTTTTACTTTATGGTTTGTATTTATAATTTCTTTCTGAAGCGATTTGCCAAGAGTTAATAGATCCCAAAGCTTTGTTAATAGCACAGAATATTTTTATATATACATATATATTCCTCCATGATTCTGTAATATTTTTTTAATTGTCCTATGCTGTGCTTGGTCCCTGGTTTGAGAACTTGTCTTTCAGAACTTGAAAAAGTGAGCTTGCTACATCTCTGTTCAAAGAGACACTTATTGAGTGATGTTTGTCCATACTTGTTGAGTTGATGCTTTGTGATTGCAATAAAACACTGCTTCGGTTCACCAATATGTCTTTGGTTTCTTCTCATTTGGTCCCTTCCCTGAGGATTAAAGATTGACAATGTCTCCTTGAAAACACAGGGAGGAAGTTAAGCTTTAAAAAGAAAATTTTGGAGTGAATGAGATAGCTTGGTGGGTAAAAGTTCTTGCCATCAAACCTGAGAACTTGAGTTCAAGCCCTGGGTATACACATGTGCACACACACACACACACACACACACACACACACACAAATAATGAATTTAATTTTTTAAATAAAGCTAAATTATGTAGAACACTATATAAGTTGAACCTCATATAAGCTAACTCACCCCAACAGATCTCATTCCCTTCTTATAGTCTACCCAGTAGTCAATTTTAGGTAGTATCTTAGCCAAGGATTGCTTACTTGGCTATCACAATCATGATTTGACACAAAGCTTAGCAGGGAGTCCCTGGACCTCTGAGTTCGCCTGTCCTTCCTATTTTAAAGACTAGCCATAGGGACCATTTCTCTGAAGAACATAACATCTATTTATTTTTTAATTATTATATGTAAATGCATGTTTTGTCTTCATGTGTATCTGGGTATTGTGTGTATCCCTGGTTCCCACAGAAGCCAAAAGATCACATGGAGTTACAGACTGTTGTGAGCCATCTGAGTCCTAGGAATCAGACCCAAGTACTCCAGAAGAGCAGCCTGTGATCTTAACCGCTGAGCCGTCTTTCCAGCCCTAAGAACATAAAATCTGAAGGTGAGCGTGACAGGACCTGGACAATGGAATAGTTGCAAATTCAAAGACGCATTGAGGCTGCAGTGCAGCTCGGTTGAGTGCCTGGTGCCTGTCTGGTGCATGCTGGTTCTTAAATTAGATTCCCAAAACCACCTAATCTGGGCACGGAAGCACACACTTGTAATCCTAGCCCTTGGTGGCAGGCAGATCAGGAGTATGAGCCAGTCTGGGCTACAACAGTGAGTTTGAGGCTGACCTGGGTTGAGGAACCTTATCTCAAATAAACAAAAATTGCATTTTAAATTACTGCAATTAAAGAGGTTATGGGGTGTCTAGAACTTAAATGTTTTGCTTTGCACTATTAACAGAAAACGTGACGACAAAAGGCATATTTTCTAGTCCCAGACTCCCACCCAAGACACGGGCACCATGGGCACTGGGGAAGGTGACAGAGGCAGGTCAGACGACAGCCTGCGGGGACCTGCATGGGAGGTGGGAGAAGATGGAAGGAGGAGCTTGGGTATAGCTCTATGAAGGGTTAGCTCGAGGAATGCCCAGACCTCACCTGTCCCAACACCTCTGTGTATACTGGAAACAGGTCCCTTGGGAGTGCTGAGGACTGCCCACCTCACCCTTGTTACTGTTGGAGTAGTAAGATGCAAGTCTACTTTGTCCCTGACTTACTGTACAAAGAAGGGAGACAGGGGTGATGCTGTGCTGTTGACGAGTCTAGGTGCATAGCTTCTCCTGTCTCTTAGTTCCATCATTGTTCAGCGCAAAATTGTTGTCTGAGACATTGCCCTCACCACATGACCTCCAAACGGCAGAGGGAAGGAGAAAGCAAAGGAGTAGACGTCATTCTTTTAGGACAGAGGTTCTCAACCTTCCTAATGATGTCAACCATAAAATTATTTCCATGCTACTTCATAACTGTAATTTTGCTACTGTTAGGACTCCCAATGTCAATATCTGATCTGTAACCCACAGGTTGAGAACCTTTGTTCTAGAGCATTTCTTCTGCCTCATCTTACATTTTGCTAACCAGAACCCACTCTCATGGCCATTCATAAGCTGCAAAGAACTAAATATTTTTTCCTGAGAGCCTGTGAAGCGAGTTAAGAGCCCACGCCTCATTACTCTGTTACAGAACTTAAATCGAGTTTTTATGTAAGCAATAAAATCTGACCCCAGGTGGTCTGTCTATATAATGAACTACACCTTAACTCTATTTATGGGCAAATTGTAACCTAAACCAAAGAAGCCCATAGTAATTAAGCAACTGAGCGCCAGCCAATCCCAAACTGAAGGTCAAATCCTTGACAAAGCATCACACCAAACTGGAGCCACTGGGTAGTCTCTGTATGCTATTTCCTTTCTGGTTATGAAAATGACTCCTCATTGTAAGAAGGCATGGCATCCCCAGGCTGCATCGATGCCCTTTTCTGGAACCTGTTTCTTGCCCAAGCTTTCTTAAATTTCTGTTCTTTCAATGCATCTGAGGAATAAGGGGTATTTGGGAACAACATGCAGTTACTACCATCAGTGGGCTTACTAAACACTCAGAGCAAATGATACGGGTTTTTAACTCTGTTTGTCTCCGGGTTGAACTTGGCATACACTAACTCAGCCTCAGCATAGGATTTCCCTGTGTGTGTTGAGGACAGGGAGATGGTTGAAAGGAAAATAGAAAAATATGAAAGCACCCCTCAGCTGATAACAACTTTCACACAAAATCAGTTAGTTAAAGCTTGCCTGCTGTTCTCACACACTTAAGGAAGGACCTGTAGCAGGCAGGATGAAGGACCGCTGCAGCAATAACCAGCTCCAGGTGTTCTGTGCCTCTCCGTCTAGCGGCGACCACCAGCACTGAAACAGGCCACCAGGGTAGCAGACGTTCCACAGGTGGGAGCTTTGGTTCCTCGCACTGGATCTCTGTGAGAGTGACCTTGGTCTACAGTGTGTCACAAATGCGTTTGCCATGTGGGAGCACGTACCATGTATGCAGTGGGAAAGTGCTTGTCTGGATGCCAGTAGAGTTTATGGAAAAAACAAAACAAACACGTGAGATCAGATGGATGGGTATTAATTTTAACCACACTGACAGGATGCCAGAATCAGGGATTCAAGGAAGTCCCTGTGCTTCTGCTCCCACCGCACCCCAAACACAACATTTGAATCTTGAGTTCAAGCCCTACAAATTAAATGTAGTGGGCGGATTTAAAGTCTAGGTCCCAGGCAGGCCACTGTTCAGTGGAATCTAAACTGGCACGTGTGTGTGTGTGTGTGTGTGTGTGTGTGTGTATGTGTGTGTGTGTGTGTGTGTGTATGTGTGTGTGTCTGTGTGTAAATGATGTTGGGACACTGCCAGTGGGGCTGGGATTTCCAATGTGTTAATGCCTTCCATTTTAGCTCGACACTTTGGCAGTAACTGTCTGGATTCCAAAGGCATTTGAGTTTTAGACATTAACTCTGCCCCACACTATTTTAATAATGCAGAAAGCACAGAACCTTTTTTGATTAAGTTAATTTAGGAGTTAGAGATAGCAAGCCAATTTAGTTGAAATATGCTGGCATATTGCACCAGAGTATGCAGCAGGCATGGGTCTTATTTTAAAAGAAATTTTAATTAAAGTCTAATTATATAATTTTCCCATTCCCTTTCCTCCCCCAACCCCTCATGAGAATCAGTTTGGTAGTGAATAGTTAGTGGACATGGATGTGGAGAAAAAGAGGGCAATTTCTGGCACAGTCTTCATTTTATTTTTAGCAAATACCTTACATGAATATAGTTTTCTTTTCCTTGTACTGAGTCTAGTATATGTTGTCAGAATTGCAAATAATCCTTTTACTGCATTAGTGAAATTTATCTTTAGGGGAATTTAATTTGCAAAAGTCTAATAAGCCACAGTTGCCCAACCCACTCCCAGATTTGGAAGCCGAGGGAGAAAAGTACTCACTGGTATGATTCACAATCCTTGCAAATGGGATCTGCAGGGGCCAGACCTGGGCCCAGAGCCATGAAGCGATTTTTCTGTAATGATGTGGGGGATGAAGTTAAATGTTCAAAGAACTTACTGATTCGGGACCAAAATGCCTCTTAGGAAAAACTTGTTCATTCTGCTTCTAAACGGGAAAGAGGAACCCCAGGAAGGGGAGAAGGCACATTGCACATGACTAGCAAACAGCTTGTTAGCTTCATGCACGGGTTCCATAGACATAGATAATCTGAGTACTATTCTGGCCTATTGTGGCACTTGATATTGAAAAACAATGAAATCCAAGTTCATTTGGCCGATTTGCCCTTCAGAATCACATGGAGGCAACAAGCCCAGGAGGAGAGTTGGATATAGACCAGTGGTGATGTCTAATGATGAAACACCCTGCGCATAGGTCACAGAAGTCTTTGGCTACCCACCAGCAGGTGACCGAACTCTGCACCTCACTCAGGCAAGGGTATTCCTTTACAGTTTTCCTTAAGGAAGAATCAGGAAAGCTTGGGATAGGAAACCTTCTCCAGTTAGAAAATGCTCCCTCTTCTGCAGAGTATGATCACAGGCCGGTCCATCTCCTCGGCAGGAGCTGACAGGTGAAGCTGGTAAGGAAGTTTGGGCAGAAGCCAGGATTGCGCTGAACAGGCTTGAGCCGGAATCCAGCCCCACCACTCACTTGACACAGGTCACGAGTACATGGTAAATAATGCTAAAGGCACCTCCCACTTGCAGGGAAGCCAGACAGATCTGTGCACCCCCAGGGAAGGAGAATGTGCAGTGGGGTGAGCATGCTGTCTCTCAGGCACCATCCATAGGGCACCTTGGCTTAGAGATTTTAAGTGAGATTCCAGAGAAGTGAGATTAAGCAATGAAAACAAACTTTCTACAGAGACCCCCAGGTCTAGCAAGGCAACCATGCTAAATATCATCTTTGTCAAGCAAAGGCAGCAGAGACCTTTGGTAAACTGCGTTTCAGATACTTTTCTCAATGGATTGCACTCAGCTTTTACAAACTGGAAGCCAGCTGTCTTGGAAATCAATACTACAGGCCTTGTGGGATCATTCTGAGGAGCAGCCGGGAAGTTCAGCAAGCAGGCAGCGATTCCTGCCTTGAAGAGTTGATATTTGGGGTGATAGTCTCTCCACCGTGCCCAAACCCAATGACTTCAGGTAAGATGCCCTGTATGCCGTGGAGGGAGAGCACAGGAATCATAACAGGAAGACTTGAGCTTCCACTGGCGTCCACAGGCAGCCTTTCATCTGGAGCTGAGGCAGAATACCATCTGCTAAGGACATACAGAACC